TCTCGCTTTTGCTTCATTTCTTTTTGCAGAGGCAGAGGAGAGGCGATAAAAGTCGAAGTGCCGGGGGCTCTGGTTCGCTTACCGGTACAAGAAGCTGCACGCTCGTTAGGCGGAAGCCTGTCTCGTCCACGGATTTTGACCTGACCTGACCTGACCTACTGCGGGCCTTGGCTGAATTTAGTGATCCCTTACTGACCTTCGACTTCTAGAATCGAAAAGTCAGCTATCAAGGTTTTTGGTTCCTCGTAGCTTTTGTCCATGTGTCAGTAGTTTTTTAATCACATGCATTAGTAGAACATTCCGGAAGGTTCGATATCGATGCAATAATCTTTAATAGATTAACCGATAAAATAGTGCATTTTCAAGGCAATTCCTTACTTTCTCTCGGACACATATGGACCGTAAGGACAAGTTAGGGGCAATGTCAATTATAGTTAAGGAATGACGACATTTGTAGTGACCATGACATTTTACTCCATCAAACCTCACATCCAGACTGGTGCACATTTTGTTTTTACTTTGCACCCATCCAAAGCCTATATATACTGGACTGCAATTTTGTACCAGGTGCGCCATCTTGCCCGCGCGTTGCCGGCTGTTGCGCTCCTACGTGGGTAACGTGCTGCACAACGGTCGATGCAAGGGGTAATAAATAACAGTACCGGAGGTACATCCGACACTTGGAAATAAGACGAGTAGTATGAACATACGTCCGCGTGTGAACATTGAAAGATAATTACGAATGGACGATCATTAATGCCATAATGTGATGTTAAACGTTAAAGCATGTATGTGTTGAAATGGACGACCGAAGGTCGAAGGAGGTAGTCAGGAAATACGAAATCCTGGTTGCCATGACAGCCACCGTCGCTGCGTGGTGAAATGGTGATGTAATCTGTAAGGGAAGATATAGTGAGAGATGACACTGACATATGGTAGCAGTAGTACCTGCGCTATGTTTTAAAGGAATTAAATCTTCCTATAGGGTTCGAAGGCAAGTGATATATGGTGATGTGAACGATTACGGCACAGAAGATGTACGTATCAAATGAAAGATAGTATTTTACTTGAAACGCTTCGTGCGGGTTATGTAAAAGGCAGCTGAATAAATGGGTAATATATAATGCCGTGTTTGGTGTGATATATAAGTGTTTTAAAAGTTTCACACGGCTACAGCTAGGGAAGTGCTGATTGAAACGCCATATTTCACGCATTTGTTTACAGCATGGGTGAAAGTAAATGTAGTTTGCAACGGTACGAAGGTATATTTCACGGCTTATCAACAAATTCTTTCTTTCGTAATTTGTAATGTATGGGATAATTAATTTGGGAAGAATTGTATAGTGGATGGATACGCAATACGTGAAAATACGGAAAGTTCTGTAATATATTGTTAAGGGAAATGGCAAGTCCTAGCGATATAATTCATCCATGCAATCGCTGAACGCTATTTCTATCTAGTAGATTTCGATGTACTTGGTTTTTTTAATATTATATATGTTTGCTATGGTATATTGAATACATGTATATATATATATGATGCTGATATATATCGATTGCTTTCATATATGTGGATAATATAGGTATGTTATTTAGTTTATCAGTCATATTTAGGTATCTTGTAAATATTTCTTATATTTTTCATTGCCTTGTAATATGTTATTTGGCATATTTTTCGGATGAAAATGTTTAATGAAACATAATTGCCATGTATTTATTAAAATCCTGATCCGGTAACGGTTTTAATGCCCCACAACTGGTATTAGTCCGTGTGCTTCGTTCGTCAGCGGGCTTAGTATATCACGTGAGAGAGTCGCTGCAGGAGGTAAACGGGTTAACTGTGGTGTGTTATTTCACTTGTTTGTAACGGTTTACTTCTCTCCATATTTGCTTGCGTAGGGTTTTATCTAGCTGAGATCATTCTCAGGCGAGGCTTGTGTTAAACTGTTTTACTTCATGTATAGACGGTTATAATACATTGAGCACTGGAATACTGTGGCTAATCCGGGTGCTGATGACGTTAATTTATGGTATGTTCTTAATGTTTCTGGAGTTTCCGAGGCATACAATATGCGCTGGACAGACTCTGGGACTTGTGTACTTTGTGGCTTAAGCCCATAAATCAGGCGGATATTTCCGTTTCTCGTATGGCAGCAAATTTTGCACGTTTCAAGTGCATACTGTGGTTGGTTAAACTCCCCCTTGTCTCCAACCACGTAGACCTACGCGTCGTGCATTCATCGTCTTTGCATTGTGGTGACAGCTGGAAGAAGGCCGCAAGTAGAGGTTCTCCGCTTTATCCGCACCCATCTGGATTGGTGCGTGCAGGCTTGCACGCCCTGTCTTGTTCGGGACAAAATGGAGCTCGAGAGGGTTCCGAGAGTAGGTAAGCAATTGGTCGACGTGTTACGTGAGGCATTCGTACCCCGTGGGTCTACCTAGCTTGTGTGTGTATTCAGTGCACTGACGACGGGTTCGAGGATACGTAATGGTAGCTTGCAGCATTTTGATAGATAAGGTTGGACCGGAGTTTACATGGCTATTTAGCCGGGCTAGGTTACCTTGTCTTCCCGGTTATCCCTTCCCTTGATTTTCTCTTCTCCTGACCATAACCATCTTCAAACTGTTAGCTTTTATTCGGTCATTCTCTTCACTCTTCGCTGTTATCCTTCATTGGCTGGCTGGCCGAACTACCTCCCCGTGGTGCCAGCTGGGTGGTTCGGGTGTACCCCGTTCCAGCAAAGTGTTCGGCGACAATGTTCCACCTCCGTGGGGCATTGTGTTCCAGCAATTGTGCTGACTTCATGGGGAGTATTGGGCCCCTGTTTGGTAATCTACCAAACAAAGGACGCATGAACTGATCATTCAGTCAACGCCTCCCAATGGGCGCGATTCCCTAAATTCGCCCCGCTGCCTTGCGGGTAGGTTATTTAGCCAAAGGCTCGGGGTGGAGTCCCCTAAGTCAACTCTCTACTTCGGTTTGGGCAACCGGGTAGTATCACGCCCTCTCGCAAAACCATGGACTTCACTACAACGCGCTCATCAGCTACTGTTCCTGCTACTCACTTTCACGCTACTCCATCACACGCCAATTGTTTGTTTGCTAACAATCCTCACTTTCGGTTACCCGATTCATCTGTTCAACAATCTGGCTGCGATTCCGGTTGCTCCGCAGATCAAGGAATTCAACCTATGACTCTCCTTCGTCCCCGATCCTCGTTCCGTCTAGCGTGTTTCAACGTTCGGTCACTCATGCAGATTGGACAGCAAGCCGGTCTAGCGCGCACTCTACATTCCCTAGACATTGATGTCTGCTGCCTTTCAGAAACCCGATTGCAAGATCCCAGCACTGTGCTTACATTGACACCCCCCACTGACCACGAAGCCAGATATCACCTGCGTCTTTCTGGAGAGCCAGAAGCAGCCTCAGCGGGTCTGGCTGGTGTAGGTATAGCACTAAGTGACAAGGCCGAGGCGGCACTACTGGACTGGTTCCCTATTAATAGCCGATTATGTGCGGTTCGGCTTCGGGGTTCGTGTAGAATCAACAGGCAACGCGAAGAGAGACACAACTTGTTTGTGATCTCTGTGTACGCTCCAACTGACTGCAGTGGCGACTCGGTCAATGAGGAATTCTATCGGGATCTACAACAACTCTTGACTAATGCTAGTATTTCCTTCAACAAACTGGTTTTGTTGCGCCAGTTGAGATGTCTCGGTCACGTTCTACGCATGGCACCTGAGCGTCTTCCCCGCCGCGCTCTATTCGCTCGTCAAGGACCTGGCTGGAGGCGACCGCATGGTGGTCAGCCTTCCACTTGGCGGCAGCACATGAAATCGCTGACGTCGTGTCTATCCGCTGTAGTATCCGTACGTCTTCCAGGATGGGGACCCAAAGATGAAAAATGCCAATGGCTTAGGACTCTTGAAGATATGGCCCGCAACCGGAATCAGTGGAATAATTGTGTACATTATTGTATTGATTCACATGTTTAATTCGACAAACATTAAAATGACAAAAAAGAACAAAAGCGGCGTGTGAAAACAAACTAAAAGTGTTTTGTTCTGCTTTTTATCAAACTGTTCCATTCTTCCTGCGGCATATTAGTTGAAGTGTGTTGCTCACCTTCAACTAGCATGCCACGATGATTATGACGCTTTGAATCTTGTTTATCTCCTTATCTCCATGGTTTTAGGCTGGCTGTTTGTCTAGCTAGTAGACTGTTGAGAATACAATACAATCCTTCATTTTATTGACGTTCATTCCCCTTGATGTAACATTTACCCCATACGGCGTGACTACTTAACGTAACTTACACTGCCGGGACTGCTAGTGCAGGGAAAGTTGGCGGTAACGGGTTGATCATGATGTTTCAGGAGTTTCCTTTAAGATCTACCAAGACCTACCACTTTCTCATATCCTACCTCAACGATGTGCATAAGAAGGAGCACTCACGGGAGATTGCAATCGTTCCAGTGCAAGTGATTCTAAATCTGAACACCCCTAGGCCTCCCTGGGCAAACGGTTAATGCGCAC